AGAAGGCTGTAATGGAGGCGGGGTTTTGTTTTTCACGCTGCAGCGAGCCGTTACCGTCAGCTGCCACCGCCTCGTTTACATGTCTGCTCTCCCATCATGCACCTCTGCCATGGTGCTGCATGCTCCTGAGTCACTGAGCCATGTGACCTCAGGGAAGGAGGAGGTGGCAGACGAGGGGCTTTCCTGAGCTAAACTTAGTGTGAAGAAGTGAAACATGAGCGCATCCATCACTTCATCCTTCTCTCCAGTTTGTATGGAGACACATTAGTGCCAAAGCATCCATGAGTCCAATGATCTGAGTTTAAACGACTCAGGTGAGACTTCAAAGTGGGACGACGTGTTTCTGAGTTTATCGTTTCGTTTAAAACTGACGTTTTAAAACATCATCCGTGTCATCGCAGCGGCTCGCCCTCTGTGTTTGCTCTTTCACATAAAATCAAATGTTGGGCCTGTGATAAATAAGCACTTATAATGAAGAACAACCACAGGTCCAACAACGTGGGACAGGTCCGTGTGTCCCCTCTCCTGCGCTGCAGGTTAGCATCGTCCTGCTCAAATATGAAGGCCACACAGAGCTGCAGGCTTTGACCTGAGCCCTGAGAACGACCCGGACGCTCCCTGCCCTCTTCAGTCTGACGGCGCGGCGTCCTTGATTGGCTGGGACGGACCACCTCCATTGTGGTGGAGCTGTAACCTGCATGTGTGGACGGCACGCCCAGCAGGTTTCAGGGAGTGTTCCTGAGACTCATCTGCTGAAGCTCACGGTCATCGGCCTCGTCCCACAGAGCGTCCTCCAGCTTCTCTGAGAACGCTGATGAACTGTTCACGGTGAGGAACATGATTCATGTTGGTGAAGCACTGCCTCTCTGAGAACCTCTTTTTATCCTCGATCATGTGACCGAGCTGCTGACAGGTCACATGATCAGCTGGTAAATCTTCCTCTGCTTCTTCAGCACGAGCTTTTCTGAGATGGCTCATTCTCTCACTTTAATCTTTTGTTTTCTGTGTTCGATCACGAATAAAATATGAGCTCTTGTTTTCGTCCCGACTTTTTCAGGTTTGCTCTGAGCATGCTCACATGCTCTGAGTTCCTCTGACGTCCAGCAGAGGCAGCAGTGAGCCCGTCCCCATAGACCCCCATGTTAAACAGCAGATGTAAACATTTCACAGCCCGATACACAAACTGTTTTGGTAAACAATACTTTTACTTTGAATACTTGGAGTACATTTTTCAGAATGTGCAGAGGTGGCTTGACTGCACAGATGCATGCTGGGTAACGACCCTGGCCTTCGGCACTGATGGAGGCCCTCCGTCGGGCTGACCCGGGGTCGGGGCAGTGCCAGCTGATCCGGGGTTCGTTTGTTCCTCTGTTTGGCATTTCGACAGCGTCACTGCAGCGAGTGGGTGCAGCTGCAGACGCTGTTCCGCTCTGTGGTCAGACGGGGGGTGGGGGTGATGCTGCCTTCATCCATCCCCCACTTCACTTCCTCTGAGCGAGAGAGAGAGAGAGGAAAGAGAGACGCAGAGAGAGAGACTGAAGGAGTGGAGGAGGAGGAAGCCATTTTGGGCCCGGGTGACATGTCTGCCTGCTCTTTGCTGCCTGCGCTGCTGGACGGACGCTCGCGCAGTTAGACCGGACGACTCGGTTTGGGGAAGTAAAAGCTGAGACGCTCGCAGCTCTTTGCTTTTCTGTCTTTCAGAGACGTCTGAGTCTTCACAGGAAGAGGCGGCGAGGCCCGTTAGTCAGACTGCGGGCTGAAGGAGAACAACGGCGCAGAAACTACGAGCCCGATCACTTCCTCAGAGGACGAGGAGCGAGCTCAAAGATCGCCTCTTTCTCTCAGATGTTAGCGTGCTCTGGGTCTGACAGCAGCCGGGCTGACGTCGTGCCTTTGAGCATCGAGCAGGATGAGTTCGGACCGCATGCCGTCCAGGTCGGACATGATGGGGTGGAACCCGCAGCAGCTGGCGGACTACCTGAGAAGGGTGAGGCCTCCGTCCGTACTGTTTGTGCGTCCTCGTGTACGTCCTCGTTTTCAGCTCCTCGGGATCCTCCGAGCGGCGGGGTCAGCTGACTCACGCTCAGACGGCGCCGTGAACCAAACCGAACGTTAGTGAGCAGCAGCTCACCTCAGAGGCTCAGGTGAGCTGCTGCACCTGCCCGACACGGAGCTCGATGACACGTGGTGACCGCAGCTTCGGTGTTTGATGCCCTGTGTTTGAAACATTGGCGTAGCGTGCTGATCAACAACACTTCAGTAAAGCTCTGGCTCGCTGTTAGTGCAGTGACCTCACTGATGATGTCATTCAAAATGCAGAGGTGCAGTTCAGACGGTCAGTCAAACAATGGTAATAATGCAAACTTTCATGCGATCAGACGTGCAGCCAGCTTCATGTGTCAGCCCGATGCTTCTGGTGCTTTGTGCATCTGTAGTTAAAGGCTGGACTGAGTAACTGTCGTCGGCTCTGCTACAGCGTGATTGCGTACAGCTTTCCTGCTGATCGCAGGGATGGTGACATTTTTCTGCAGAAGTTCAAACGCTGTGACGTAACGACTCAGAGAAGCAGCGGGTTTAACGAGGAAGTGTTTGTGATGCGTTTGGATAAAAGTCCCCGAGAACAAGGACAAAGGCAGCCGGGTGTCAGTTACACTTCAGAAGCAGCAGCGTTAGCCGTTAGCTGCTCGCGTCTGAAGGCGGCTGCATGAAGAGGAGTGAGATGTGACAAACTGCTGGGTTTCCCCTTCCTGTGCATCTCTTATAATCTAAACAGTTCGTCTTACTTTAACAGACTTTAACATCTGATCACGTCTGATTATTTTTAGGTCACTGAGCAGCAGTTTGATGGTGCAAAGTATCGGAGCAGGCAGGTGGAGCAGATGAAAGCTGTACGTCGGCGCAGAGCCGCAGGAAGTGTCGTTATTTTCCATTTGGGGTTTGATGGGGTTATTTAAGGCCTACGGCGTTTCAGCATGCGTGCTCAGAGGCAAGAATAGCAACATGTGGGAGATAATAACTGTAACTTGTTACAGACGCGGCCAAACATTCAAATCATGGGGTGAACTTCTGTAGAAGAAATCCCTGTGGGCTTATTTTCACTCTGAATGTCTCCTCACTGATCTCTGCACAACAAGCCTGCGGGACGTTCGCTCAGCGGAGACGCTTCAGTCCCGTGCAGATCGTCCACCCCAGCATCCTCGTCTGTCACACACTGTTCATGTCCTCCTCCTTCGCTACATCCATGAACCTCCTCTGAGCTTCTTCCAAACCACCTCAGCCTCTCTGACTCTGATGCACTCGTCCCTTATCTCCATCTTCCACCTACTCCACCCTGTCTGCACTCTGTGCTTCATCAGCATAAAAGACTGGCTCTATCAGCGCGACACAAAGTTTCCGAGCGATTCTTTTATAGCGTCTGATGTCAGAGGCTTTTAATGATTGGTGGATGCAACCCACAGACTCCTTTACCACTCAGGCTGCATCGTGTTCATTTATCAAATCTGTTCAAACGTGGGCTCGTTCTGCACCAAGAAGAAGAATCGTCATGACAACACGAAACGTGGAAAAGAGGCCGATGCCTGTTTGTGTCGAACCTCAGACCAACTCTGTGAGCTCATCTCACTGATGCTGACGAGTCGCTCGTGCTTGGCTATGTTTTGAGAATCAGCAGGAAGTCTGAGGAAGTCTGTGTGGGACAAAATGACGCTAACGCTTCAGTCCCGTCCAGAAGCAGTTACAGCTGAAAGTCTGGAGCGAGGCGGTGTCGCCAGCAACTGTGACATCAGAAACCGATTCTTATCTTTGCTTTGCGTCACTGTGTGTGTGTGAAATGCACTATACACAGGTACACACACACACAGGTCTTTATCACCAGCTTCCACATTTATTTATAGTTTTCCCAGGTTATGATATGAACACAGTCTGACAGCTGCCGGTCCCAGCTGATTTCCCCCCCCGCTCCTCTCCCTCTCACTATAAAAAGGGAAGGAAACCATTATCAGTCCAAATCGCCATCAGCTGTTCTCACTGGCATCTCCAGCACCGCCCCGTTGAGCCCACTGCACCACTCCTCCCCTACAGCCACGCCCGGGACCACACCTCCGCCACAGTGTGTTAGTTTAGATGTTTCACATTCGCAGAATCGTCTGCGGAGAACATCACGTCCATATGTGAGGAAGAATCGGTATTTCCTGGAAGACAGAAAAGAATCGAATAAGAAACTGATAATAAAACAATAATAATAAATAGATGTGTTCATATTTGAATGATATGTCCCTGTGACGTCCCTGTTGCAGATGAATCTGTCCGGCTGTGACAAAGTTGTGCTGAAGCACTCCATCTCTGGTTCCAGATTTGTGGTGAGTTCAACTCAAGAAAATAAAACTGGAAAAGGAAAGAAGGGTGTAGGGAAGGATGTGACCCTGTTTGTTTTTGCAGAATCTGAGCGACAACGACCTCCAGAAATTCCCTAAACTTCATACTCCGTGAGTACTGCCCCCTGCTGCTGCGCTGTGGTACTGCAGTCGGCCTGGGCCACAGCTTTGATTGAGAGACATTTTACTGGATCAGTACTGTTAACAGAAAGTCTTCACTTGTAACCAAAGCTGGTGTTTGATGTTAGATGTGCTGATTATGTGGTATAGTCTGAACGCTGAGGGAGACCCAGGTGAGGGTTAACCACACTGTGACGTCGTGTATCCATGTCTCTGCAGGATGATCTCCAAACTCAACAGTGAAATCAACAAGAAGGAGAAGAGGGGAGGCTTCTTTATTAAAAAGTACGTTCATGTTCTGCTTATAACAACAGCCTGTGCTTTAATCGTGGCAATGAAACGACAGTCTGGTAACCACTGGTGTCTCCTATACATCTGTTCAAGCACAAAGTCCAGATAGGGCCAGAATACTGTTGGACTGTGTTCATAGAAGAACCTGTATCTTATTCTGAAAGGCTCGCTCATGGAGCACGCCAGCAGACAGTGAAGGTTGATTCACACAAACCGTTTTCTGAGAAACGCATCACCTCATGTTAATCGCAAAATTCATGTTGCGTTGCTAAGCAATGGCTAGCTGGCTAACATTAGCTTATTTGCTTGCTAGCTTTATTGCTGGTAAAACACTGTCTGAATTAGCGACTGACCGACCTGTCAAACTACTTTAGCAGCTAAAATGATCGTAACGTTAAATAAGGGTCGATTTTAGCATCACATGTCTGAACAAACAACCACCTGAAACGCCTCCGGGCACTCATTTGTTGTTAATGATTTCAAAGATTTATCAAGACTTTGCTGAGTACATGAAACTGATGCAGACTCTGACGCCAGTCATCAGACGCTGACGTTAGCTCGCTGGTTGCTGTTATAATGTGGTTTGTGTGAAATTGTTTGCTGAATGGTGCGAGCCAACATTTCATGCTAGCTGTCGTCTGTCTTAGAGGCACACGCTGTACTGGGAGCTCTGTCACGGCAGCTTATTTATACGAATAACAACATACAGACTCACGTTTCTTTATATTAGAGTTTATCTCTAAGTGAAGTCTAAAAGGGAAAGTTGACTTCTGTTGTTGCTTAAAGACTGTTTTTCTGGATGTTTGCTTGATAAAACTTAAGCATCAGAAGGAGGTGCTAAAACTTTTACAGTTGATTCATAAAAGAGCTTTGTTCGTGTTTCCTGCACACTGTTTTTTGTCTTTGTGGTTATTTTACATATATTTAAAACATCACCTGAGCAGCGCTGAGGTTTGACTCGGCTCTTACTTTCTCACACCTTTTTTTCTCACAGGACGTCCAAATATCAAGAACCAGGTAAGAATTTATTAATGTTTAATGTTTCTACATAGAGCCATGGATGGTTTGAATAATCGTCGCATGTATTAGTTGTTTCAGAATAAACAATGTAATGTGGTGAAATTTTCAGTGTAGTTTCCATCAGACTGCGTTCACCTCCGTCACACCAGATCAGAGTTCCTGATATGTGAAACTTAAACATAATGTTGGGTGTGCTGCCGTTTTACGGGGACTTTCCAATCGAACAAAAGCAGGAAGTGTTTGTGATGTGATGAAGTGTAAATATTTTATTTTGACAAAGCTGCAATAAAATTTCACAGGAAATAGAAACAACAATAAAAACAGGTTAGCATTATCACATAGTTTCGCGATGATGAGTAAGGATCTGTAATAGATATTTACCTAATTGCAGTATTATTACGAAGTCTGAAAGCTCGTCGTGTCGTCAGTGATTTGAGTCTTTGTGATTATTTCTTCGTCACATCTGGAAACACAGATGTTAACCTGCTGCTTTCTCCTCTGCAGAAATCAACTCTGAGCCTCAGGGATGGGGCGAAGACGAGTTTGTGAGTTTATCGATTTATTTACTGAATAAAAACAAAATTCATGATGTCGCAAACACCATAAAATACACATGAGAGCGATGACAGAGGTGACATTAGATAGAACACATAAATAATAATTACACAAAGATGATTCATTATTGTACACATTTACATTTTAAAGGATATACATGTGTTAGACGTCCACCCAACACAAGCTTCTCTCTGCGTTTCCTCGGTCAGGACGATGAATTTGACGATGACTACGAGAGTCCGTACAGCGACGATGACGGCAGCGGGGGAGACTACGAGTCCCCAAACGATGACCAGGACGCGGGTAACGATTACGAGCCGCCTCCTTCTGAACCCGCAGAGGACCACAAGCTGTGCCCCCCCCGGCCCATCGGGGACGGGGATTACATTGGTACCCTCATGAGTTCACACACGCCAGAAAATATTACCATCGAATCATCATTTGGGTCATTTCTGACTCCAGACGCTGTCATCGAGTTTGTTTCAGTGTTTGTAACAGAGATGAAAATAACGACCAAACACGCTTTATAAACGTGTGTGTGTGTGTGTGTGTGTGTGTGTGTGTGTGTGTGTGTGTGTGTAGACAACCATGTGTCCCGAGGTCAGCCCCCCGCTGTGTCTCCCCGCCCCCCCGTCTCTACGCCACCATCTCGGATGGTGAGTCAAGCTTATCGTAGTACCGAGTGTCTCCACAGAGGGCGCCACACATACTTTAGAATAGTTTGTTAAGTATTTGCTAAGTGTGTCTGTGTGTGTTTGCGTGTGTGTGTGTTATCAAAGCAGCCCATGGACGCTCGCAGAGACCCCTCCCCTCATTGTGGTCCACGACCTCCTGGAAAGCGTGAGTAACTTCCTGCAAACACGCTGATCACATGACATCTTCTCAGGTCATGTGATTCCTCTGGGCTCCTTGTTAAAGCTGCTCTTCATGTGTTTGTGTTCAGTGCCTCCTGAGCCACCGCAGGTCTTTCGTCACATCAAACCAGGCAGAGGTCCAGGATCCAACTCGTCCCCCATCAGAGGTAAATGACCTCACCTGATCTCGGTCCGCTGACTCACCTGTGCAGGCCGACAGGGCTGGAGGAAATCCCTCCCACGGTGGCCTGTCCCACCGAAACATAAAGAAAAACAAACAACACGACTGAACTTTATGTTTGGAATCAAACTGTGAATGACGTTTGTTTTATCATCGTCACAGGACCGAACAACACGCGGGACAAGGTGAGTTTGCAAAACACTTTGTACACATGACAAACCAGAAAAACAACAGACGGATGAAGAGTTAGACCTGAGCAGCTCCACACGTCGCACGCTAACGTCGCACGCTAACGTCGCACGCTAACGTC